TGTGTGTGTGTGTGTGTGTGTGTGTGTGTGTGTGTGCTGTGATGCTGTTACATTGTGACATTGTGAGTGAAAGTTGCACATTTTTATGGTATACAAATAATATTTAGAACATTAAAATATTTCATTTTGAACATGAAAAGGACCCTCATTTTCATGTTCACAATGTAATGTTTTAATTTAGACAGTGGTTTAAGTCAGACATCTGAGTGCTGATTGAACTACACTTAGAATACCAGAAGATAACATTTCACTTGGATGCAAATTACTTACACTACTGCTGTTTCATTCTGCCTTAAAATCACTTCTAGCACCAACCTTTGAGAGAATTTGTAGAGTACGACACCTAAAAGTGCCAAAGCCTGATCCATTCATTTGATTTGCACTAAAAGGAGAAGGGCCACCTGTCTCTTACATTTATTATCCRCCATTGTTTTTGCTTTGGGGTGTTCATCGCCAACCTCTTTAACCTGTCTGTGTGGTTACACAGCCACAGACAAGGAAGGCCCAGTTTCTGGTAGTAACCAAAGAAGGACAATTTTCTGTTTGTGCCTTTAGGAAAGTGAAGCCCTAGGATTATGTTCCTGAGCRTATTCAGGGCCACAGCAAAGATACACTTTCTTCTGAAAGACGGTTTCTACTTATTTCCACAGAGGCAGTTTCCGCCCTCACTCAGYTTCATCCGTTCATTCTGCTTTAGTAAACCAATTTTGTTAGAGACAGTCTGGCCCTTCGGGCACTTCTGCTTCTGAATTAGTCCCAGATGTGGAATATATGCAGTTTTATCCATTTAATAATCCCCTTCCAGTTAAAATTTTTCAATTATCTTCCATGTGTTTGGTAATGAGAAAATGGTTTATCAAGTTTTATGTGCCAGTATTTTAATGTGCTATTTTAATGTGTGGTAGCAGGGTAGTTCCTCCAGTTGCTGTAAAGCAAAGTTTCTTCTTTTAAGTACTTTCATTCAAGTGACGCCTTTTTTAAGGGTTGCTAATTTGTKGAATTATTTCTGCTTTCCGAGYTAAATCTGTTTTATAAAATTATGTGTTTGWGTGTGTATGAATGTACCATATGGGTGTACAGGTGACAAAATAAAGGAAACAAGAAATTCAATTTAATTTTAAGAATCAGTCTTTTGTGTGTGTGTGTATGTATATATA